ACCCCGCCTCTCGCCCGGAACGTTAGCTGGAGATAGGCACCAGCAACCCTCCTGACCCCACAAAGGGACAAGGGTGTAAGAAAAAGGACGGATGGTTGGATATCAAAATCTTACAAAAAATCACAGTGAGTCAGAGCTGAACAAAAACAAAGGAACCCTGGAGCAAGGAGGTAACAGAGAGATATCTGGGAAGAACCAGTGAGGAGTAAGGAGCAGAGAACTGGGAGAGTGGCTGATTAGCTAACAGGTTGCAGGTGTGAGGGTAGAGAGCAGAAGGCAGACTGGAGAGAGAGAGAGAGAGAGAGAGAGAGAGAGGGGGCACAGGGGGCGAGGGAGAGAACACTGGGGCCTGGGAAATTAATTTAATATTAAACAATAGCTAGACATAAGGATCATAGTTAAATTAGAGTAACAGAGAATAACCAGACACAAGAAACTATTAAACATAATAAACTAGAAACAATAAGAAAGGACTGAACTAAAGTAAAACAGAAACAAGAAAAAAAGATCATCTTTGATCATGGGGACCTGCTGATTGAACCCCAGTGTCTCATCTGACAGGTGGAGACAAACAGCCCACAGCTACAGAGGAGAGGCACAGCCACCTCTTTAATTAGGCATCTGTCACAGGTGACCTCTGTTATATATCAACAGTTTAGATGCTGCAGTTACATTCCTGACAGGATCCTGTTGACTTTCAAATAAAGTCCACTGTGTCGTAAGAGAAATGTGTGGACTGAAATTCAATAGAGCTAAATTGACTGTGGTGCAAAACAGTAATGCTCAAAAATATATTAATATATACTGCTCAAAAAATAAAGGGAACATTTGACTTTAATTTTGTGTGTGGCTCCAAATCCAGGCCTCCATTGGTTAATACATTTGATTTCCATTGATGATTTTTGTGTGATTTTGTTGTCAGCACATTCAACTTTGTACAGAACAAAGTATTCAATGAGAATATTTCATTCATTCAGATCTAGGATGTGTTATTTGAGTGTTCCCTTTATTTTTTTTGAGCAGTGTAGAAATGATCCAATCAGGGTGTGAACACCCTCTTCTGATGGAAATTTGCACATTTACTCTCCAACATCTACAGGCTCACCCCAAAAGAGACACACCTCTTCAGACACTTTCCTTGTGCCAGGTTTCAGCTAGAAAGTAGGACCAACTCAGGGTTTGCTCAGACAATGCCGCTACCATGCAGGGTTGGTTCATGGAGTAAGTTTCAGTAGTAAGCTGGCTCAGGATGACTTCTATATGTTTTTCTGAAAACCAAAAACCCAGGATATGCTCATAGTCACCCCAGAACTTAGTCAGGATTTTCACTTATCCTGCTTCCTGAAACGAGGCCCTGATGTGGAGCTCACTGGAGACTTTATCCTGCATACACTAGAAGTGGTTCATGTTCATCAGTCAGTTTAAAAATGAAATAAATCTGGTTGGTGATGTTCCTGACTTTTTTGCACTCTTACAAATTAGCAACAAAATATTGTGGTGTTTTTAAAGCAGTCTGAAATATGAGCAACATGAGTTAGAATCCAAAGTGACCTCGGCTGTCTCCTCTTGTGGTTAATGTGATCCCCAACATTGATCTGGACTCTGCAGTACAGAAGGACCTTCTGTGTGTCACATATCAGGAGCTTTGTTAGCCCTGCCTGAAATAGTTTAGCAGCTGACCAGATGCCAAGAAATAAGCATCTGGATTGCATGACCTCTGTCAGCTGATTGTATAAGCAAACTGAGTCAATGCTGAAACCGAATATACATTTGTTCTGTGATTCATATACGTAGACACCCACTGACAGCACAGGGAGAGGCACACAGTCACAAAATACTGAAGAAACCCGAGTACACCCGCTACCTGCTGCTTCGGCATGACTTTTTTATATTTTATTTTTTATGAATCATGTCTTATTTAAAACTAAAGACTGATGTGCAATAATTTGATATGAAAATTATAATTATGGGACTTCTGTATTGTCATGCATGTTGGTGTATCATAAGCATGTGCTACTTTGATCCAAACTTGAAGAAATGACAAAAACGCTTGTCAATCTATTGAAGGATGTATGTTATTCTTGATGTGAACCCATTTGGTATAAAGTGTGTTTTTGTGATAAAGGGTGTAGAATCCATAGCATTTAACTGCATTAGGGAAGAGTATGTTACTGTGAACACTGTGTCACTGTGTTGTTTTAGATATTTCATATATAAGTATAAACAATCTCCATGGGGATAAAAATCTAATTACTCAGAAAGTAGGTTAGGCTTGTCTTAGTTGGAGCCTCTCTAGTCATACTGCATAGTGAGGTGAGCAGATCTTCATCAGCGCAGACTGAGGGTCCACACAGATTAAGG